TCTTTATAAGCTAACCCTTTGTTTAGATAGAAGGTAAAAGAAATGGAATGGAGGATAGGAATGAAGATATTGTTTGTTTTTTGTTTTGGTTATGTGAGGGCAGAGCCAAAAAGCCTTTGTCTGTAATCGCAGGTGCAAAATGGGCAGATATCATTTTCCCTTTAGTGTCTTCCAAATACCATGTTATCCAATGACTCGGTGGGTTCTTCTTTTTTCTTTTTTTTTTTCTTTTTTTTTTTAAAGGAATTACATTAAAAAAAAAAAAGAATTACAGTCCAAACTACAAAGATATTCTTGTATTAAATATAAATGATTTTAATGAGTCATGCTTACTATTCTTAAAAATATGTTAATACTTTTGTAGTTTAAATTGTTTTTTTTTTTTTTTATATCTTAAATGTACCTCCCTTTTTTTTGTGCAGTACAAATTTAAAGATATAGTCGCAGAAATTTAGGAGCAAAGGGACCAGGAATAAGGACAAGTTAGTAGCGAAGAATAATATGAAGCAACCTTTTTTTTTTTTTTTTTTTCCTCTTTTGCTTTTTAAATGTTTTAAAACAAGTGGTTGAGATACGAAAAATAAAAAAGATGAGAAAACTAATGATGTGTTGATTTAAGTGGAAATAATTTGATTTTTTTTAAATAAAATCTCTAGTTTGAGGCTTGTAAATGAAAAAATAGATATGGAGAAAGATTTTCATATAAGGTTTGACGTAATTCGATTCGAATTAGTAGAGATTTAATATGGTTATTAATACCGGATAATTAGTAAAAAAAAAAACCATATATTCAAACTTTTATTATAAACGTATATAAGTCTCTTATATTTATGACAAACCAATTCAATTACCAAAAGTGATATTCACAAGCAGCTTCTTCCTTATTTATTTATTTATTTTTTTAAGATAGAAAATTGGGGAAGAAGAGGGATGGGCGTGGGCCCAGTTTGGTTTCAGTTGTAATTGAAACTAAATTATCAGTTAATTAAAGTTTTGAATTTTTAATTTTAATAATCATTAATCAAATTGAAAAATATGAATTTTAACTGATTTAGTTAAATTTTTTAGAGCAATTATTTAGATTTTTTTTATCTTGATTACACAATGAAAAACAATTATCTTTCATCTTTTATTACATCCCATTCGTATATCATATACTTCAAACTCAAGATTTTTTATTTTTAATGAAAAGAAATGAATAATAAGTTATTTAAGTCGTTGGCTAGATTAATTTTAGTTTTAATTAAAAAATTATTTTTTTATTTTTTAATATTTTTGAATTTTTTTATAAGTTTTACAAGAATAAAAATGTTTTGTACGATCTAAATTAT